AGGGCGAAAATCTTACCACCGCTTCGGGTGGCATAAGTATTTGCTTCGCCACTGGGAGAACATGGAAACTATTCCTGGCATAAACTGAACAGGCAGACTTATGAAACCCGACTCGGAACCAGTGTGCCAGTTGTATGGTCATGGCACCCAGCTCAACCGCTCATCTGTGGTGCAGTTGGAATCCACATACCAGGTGTTCGGTTATCAATTTGTCTGGGAACTTGACACTGTGCCGAAGTTAAAACGTGTTCCATTTGAACGCGTAACAGTTAAATTGTTGGCCTGTGTATTTCAGAGAAGCACAAATACGCACAGCGTAGTTATCCAGGCTGGAAGAATCTGCTCGAGAGACACATTTCCAGGGGAATTAGAGTGCCTTTGCATAGTACCAAAGGAGAGTGGTTAATAGGAGACGTACATTAAAGCCAAATTGGAGCAGGAGCAAAACCAGCCTGCAGTTTCAATAGTAGAATGGAAGCGTATTTTCATCGCAAAGCTACGGTGGAACTTCTAATCCACCGTCTTTCGAATGCACTCAAACACACATGTACAGCTGTACAAATGCAAATTCGATTCACTGGCACTTCAATGGTATACTGGATTGAAGGGATAAGAAGCCTGTGTACACCAACGCAGTGTGAAAATCGCGTTCACTGTACACGGCTTAGAGGGGGTGGAGCTGCTCCCAGGTGACCACATCTTGGCTTGGAGTATACTTACTACATTGCCCTCATCTGTGACAAATCACAAACGTGCCAATTAGCACTGGTCAGAGCAGCGCTGGCTGTTAGCCGTTTCGGGCAAAACTCTCGAAGGGACCGCCTCCTTTGTGGGGATCAGCTAGAAGTCGTCCGGAAACGCAACTACCTAGGAAGTTTTATCAGCGCCTATGGAATCGAAGACCATATCACGAACCGTATAGCAAAGACTCAAAACGCTTTTCCTAACCATCGCCACTTGTGGTGCCGACGCGACATCACTCTGTCCATGAAGGTTAGAGTGTATAGTTCAGCCGTACGTTCGACCCCACCGTGCGGTTCTGAAACCTGACCCATAAGATCGGCATACGCAGAGGCTAGTTACGTTCGACCACCTGTGCCTTCGCAGCTTAGCTCACATCCTTTGGGAACACTGCGACAGCAATGGGCGTGTTCAACGCCTTGTTTATGGCACAGAAGGAGGAAGTGAACCGCTCAGTACCGTTAGTTCACGAACCAGGCTCCGATGGTTTGGCCACGTGTTGTGCATGCCAGCACACCGGCTCCGGCGACACGCGTTAGTTGCGTGCCGGGAGTGTGGATGGAAGGAGAGGAAGAGAGGCCAAGCGATGACACTTTCAAGAGGAAGGTATACCCTTAGTTCGAATTGGCCTCGGCTGGAATCTCTAGGCTTCCTGGTTGGGGCCTAAAATTGTTGCTCAAGTTTGATATGGATAGGTGCTGACCTTAGTGGCGTTTGTGTTGTAGGGTTCTTTGCTCCTCTCCCTCTAATCACGATCTCATTTCGCACACATAATATAACGCTTTTTGCTAGCACAATATCCTGTTGCTAGGGCTCCGGAACGATGTCCATGCGTTTCTGTTGGCTTAGCTGGCATGCCACTGCTGCGTTCTTTTATCTCCTTTCTCATATATTGCGGCACAATATTTGAAGTGTTTCTAACCCTTATCTAACATGTGTAATGAACGAATGCGCATTTACTCATTTTTCTGCTCCTGTGGAGCAGAACACATTGGTGCTACGACAAGACGGTTTTCTGAAACAGAGAAGGAACACTACACATCCTGGTTTGCGACCCGAAGCAGGAAATCGTCCAGCTCGTCAATATCCGCACATTTCGCTCACACCAAACATGTATTCAGTGAACTGACGCCTTCAAAATCATTTATCAGCTCCTCGCTAGCCGACATATCTATATCAGTAGGCGAAGAATGCAAGCATTTATGGTGATGGCCGTCAAGCTATGTTATCCAGTGTTCAAAAGGCTCGCGCTACCTTGACCTAAACGGTTAGTGATATCTGATCCACAAGAGCGGATACACTCGGATACCGTAATCTGAGAGGCAACCATTGTCAGTGTCCAATTAAAACGCTTGATGAATTTAATGTCTTTTTTCACTTTTTGCTTTGTCTAGAATTGTGTAAGCATGTTGATGAATTATCGGAAGCATTTATTTGGTTACCCTAACTTGTCGCATGTACAATCCCCATCTTATCAGGGTAAGTGGTAAGTATGGAACATGAAATTAGATAAACAACCTGAGCAATCATATGCATTTGTCACGTTATGCAAGGGAATATTGAGGACCAGATGGTGCTTTGTGTGCTGCATCGCAGAGAATTGGTAATACAAATACTTTCACAGAGAATTCCAACCTCCTTAGAAAGTAATTACGCTTGCCCGAGCCACGGATCTACTAACAAGGATTTTCTCAGTCAAAGCACATGCCACTTATAAGTCATATGGTATAAAATTTTTAGTCTCTTTGATGTCACAGGACAGTGGAATTTACCTCGATACCTTCTGCAATCCAGCAAACTGGAAGAGATACAGTTTTAGAAACTAGGTCTCCCTCCATTTTATGCCACTGGGTCCGCACAGATGACAAGTGGGTTGTGGTCCGTGCTTAGTGTCGAATTATGAAAAGCTTCTTGTAAGTGGGAGGCAATAACACAGTTCTCCGTTGTGATCCGTTCAAACATCATGTTGATGATAAAAGCTACGGTAAACATGACAACTGAAGTATTTCAAAAAGCATTACTGTTACTTTGAAATACACTATACTCGCTTACATATTGCACATTTACTTTGGTTCAGCTCCGTGAGAATGAAGAAGCATCAGAGCATCCAAATGATCAGTTTGGACACATTCCATTACCCATCGTAACACTATTCAACGGACCAGGTGGTGGGAATCCCTTTACTGCGGGGAAGTGCAAGTGCATCCATGAGTTGTGGATTATCCCGAAACCGGACGTTTCTCCAGCACAAGTAACGGCTTCCTTACAGGTCACTTCACACTAAGTAGATTTCTATCGACCTATACGAACTGAAAAATCGGGTTGTCCAAACCCTAATGATGAAATCAAACGTGAGTCTCCTCATTTTGTGGCAGCATTTTCGTTGTCATTCTGCTTTATTTATCTCTTCATGTGATCCAAGTTTCCATATAGCAGACACTAACCTTACAATTACGAAACTGTAAGCATTTTCCAAGACTTGCTGTTCAGCTTAAATTAGTCGAAAATGGTTTCATATGCGACTGGCTACGGTCGGTTGTTTATCACTTGACTGTGTTGTCCGGATACTCTGTTGGTAGCTTTACCGGTACATAGATATTAGTTTGTGGAACTTTCGGCTTCATTAAGTTTCATTTTTGATTCTGCATTTTCTGGATCATATTTTGTGTGTTATCATTCCACAAAGTTTGCAGTTCCGTCTTGCAGATTCTATCTTTTAATGTTCCGTCACTTTTATGCCAATTTTCCAAAAAGCACCTTGTAGTTCCTGTTCGAAAATTGTCGGAAACACGGTAAATGCCCTTATGTGTCTTGATTATTGTGCAGAATTGTATATTTCGTGTGTTGAATTACCTACCGATTCTTACAGTCACTTGCGTTCCATTCAACATGGTTTCATCCAAGTTTTGTGCAACAATTGTCGCAGTCGAACACAGGCAAAGGTACAGTGTCTGCCGATGAAGATCGCAGCCAAAATGTTTAGATGTGAGCAGTTCTAGACATATGATCGCACAAATTCGCCTAGATTCTATCAAAGATTCAACCCTCTCTGTTGTGCTTGAAAGATTGCCATGAGATAGACTTAAATTGCGAACGTCTATGTGTGGGTTCTTTTCTTCGTCTGTGTGCTCTCTTGTCTGCATAGGATATATAGGCTAGGAGACAAGATAAAACCCATTTTAGTGAGCTCTGAACCCAGAAACACTGATTAGATCCCTTCGTTTCTAGGAATGCTATCTCATTACCGCCGTTTCTTAGCTGATACATCTACTTTTATCTTCTCTGAATGAGTTAGTCCATAGAAAGTAAAGGGGTGTTGGGGACCTCGGCAAAGCACTGTCGTCACCAAACCTAGACATGTCCTCGCCTCCTCACCAATGTTAGTTCATTATGGTCCTAGGATGCCACTACTTACCCAATGTGACAAATCTTCTTCGGGTGTGAGTGCTGTCCCGTGCCACGGCATGAATAAACAAACTTTCGCTCCGTAGTGATGGCATCACGCAATCTGTAACCAGCGGGAAGAAACTATTCGCAGCTAGACAAGGAAGCCCCGTTCTTAATTTTCGTTTTGGAATGTTTCACCAGTACATCTGGGGTGTTATTTTGTACTTCACACAGACCACAAGCCATTTATATCATTGTTAGGAGAGACCAAAGGTATACAACAAATATCTTCCCCGGTAATGCAGTGGTGGGCTCAGAGGTTGAGCACATATACTGATAATATTACCTACAGTCCTGGTACTAGAAATCGCACAGCTGATGCTTTGAGCCATCTTCCAGTTGCAGGGACGTCTCATGAGCCCGATTCTCCCTGTGAATTGCTTCCTCTGACGCGTCATCTAGCTACAATGCGTCTACCAAGCTCCACAATCCGTCATTGGGCAGATGGAGACACAGTTCTTTCAACAATCGAACAATTCTTGGCAGACGAATGACCTACTGAAGCAGCCACCGATATGTCGTCACTTATAGCATGCAAGAAGGTGCTAAACCCACCTGTGAGTTGAGTGTTGTGGAGTTCCTGGTTAGTCCCTGCTGGAAAGGCTCGTGCACAGGTCCTTCACGAGCTCCATGGGACACATCCAGGTGTCGCGAGAATGGAAGCATTAGCGATGGGATACTGCTGGTGGCCAAGGATAGATTCAGATATCAAGAACATTCTGAGGAATTGTGATACCTCTCAGGCACGCTAGCGCAGTAAACCCCCGGGTCGCATACAACCGTAGTACTGGCCACACAGGCCGTGGCAACGGATCCACGGCGACTACTTCGGCCCGACTAATGAAACCAGATTTCGGTTACTCATCAACGCCCACTTTAAGTGGGTTGATGTGTGTCTCGTTACACAAGCGGCGTCCGAAACCACTATTGTTAAAACGCGCTCATCATTCTTCACACTCGGTATTCCGAAGACCCTATGCACAGACAACTGGTCCCCTTTGCTAGCAGGGAGTTCAACCGATTCGTCTCTATCAACGGAATTCAAGATACAAAATCAACGCCTTATAATCCCGCGTCAAACGAGTTGGCAGAGCGCACAGTGCAGAAAATGAAGCGAGGACTATTAAAACAGTCTCTAGGGATCGCACAAACAAAACTGGATTGGGTTCTATTTGCCCATTATTCCACACCCACTGATAGTACGGGTCTGTTCGCCAACCTGAGGCATCTGTGGCGATGCCGTGACGTTTCGCTATTGGTAAAGGGCAGGGTCCACAATGCTTGTATGAAAGTGCGTCCTGTCCGATTCATGTGAATGACTCGTCGGATTTCGGTCTTTGACAATGGATGTCTGCGGAGAATAGCTCGAGTGTGGTGGACGAACCACGTTTGCAACAACGACGTTAGATCGCGTCTTGTGTAACACGGGACTTCCACTTGACAGACTGGTACCGCTGCGCCACTGAGATGGCTGGGCCACGTTTTACGCTTGCCATGCGAATGGCTGCCCCCGGTGCGCTCTTTTCGCTCGCACAGAACCAGGCTGAAAGAAATCACCTGGTGGTCAGCATATCACGTGGCGACTAATGAATAAAGCGCTGACTTCCAGTCTAACTGTCCTGGGTCCCGTGCATCTTCCGGGATTGGGGATCAAAGATGAAGAACACCGCTGGTCGGAAACTCTTTCGGAGATCGCACAGAACCGGGCTCAATGGAAATTATGTATGAATATTTGTTGACATTTTTTCGATCTACAACGCAAACATTAAACAGAAAAAGGCTTCTGGGTATCCTGTCTTTATAGGCATACAGCCAGCGAAAACCACAAAATGGAAGTAATAATTACAGAGACCACAAAATGAAGAAAAAGGTGAAAGACTTAAAAACGTCTTTTTGTTTCGAATCTTATTTATTTTTTGCTTTTGTTCCACCCCGTGGCGTAGCACCTAGTTTTGCCGCCCGGGGCGGACGTAAAATTGTAGCCCCTGGCAGTTGTGAATCCGTGAACCCACACAATTGCAAACAGACCTTATATAGTTGGATTCATGCAACAAAAAAATCAAATTTAAAGCCTTGCCGTAACTGCAGGTATTTGTGTCGTTACAATATTCGTGAGCTAAATTTACAGATGCATTTTCTGTGCATTACTTGAGGCAATAGTATTGATGCCACCAACCAAATTCAGTTGATTAGCGAATTCCCTCTCTATGCAGAGAACGGCCAATCCATGAGCCTTGCCTGATTCATTGAGGATTGTAGCTAATTCGTTGTAAGATTTAATTTTGAGAATGTACCTTCACAGCTGGCTGTGCTACGAGTTCGCTTACGAAGGATGCGCAGCACATTTTAAAAGTGATAGTTCGGTTTGAAGTTCAAAAGTTCAGAAAGCCTATTAATTTTGTGCTTTTCTGAATCTCTTACAAAAAACTACAATCCTCTCCTTTCGACAAGGAATTCCTCTTTTTCTATCTCTTCTTCAACTTCACTAAGCGAACAACCATAGTTATTAGCAAGCAGATTTAACGGTGTAAGAAAAACGTATTTGGTTGCATGGTCATGAAGTTGCTGAAACCTGTAGCATTTTAGCAGTCCACCTATCCATGACAGATAACATTTCTTGTTTTAACTCATCGATATATCATCGATATGTCAAACTATTCTTCTCCGTCCATTCGTTTCTTTCGGCAGATTAGACACTCCATACTTACCCCGGACTCAGCCTAGGGTTTCTTTGATTCATCCCTTGCAATGTCAACCATTTTCTCTGTATTCTGAAGAAGGAAACCGTTAAGATTCTAAACCTGACAGAACTTTGCCGCAGATCCAGTCTCTTTTCTTTAGACAGTTCTATGCATTCTTGATTTCTATGAGAACAGATCACCAAAGTGTGAGAAACGAAATAAAGGGTAACGACAATACGGAAGTGAGAATTAAAGTTGCATCTGATCTTGTGATTGCATTTTCTCATCACTCTGTGAAATGCTTCAGAGAAGTGACGAATTTTAAGTATTGCTTCACCACACCGTTTGCAGCATTTGCTGGACTATTCGATCTAGAGTTTACAGCCATTTGATACTTATATCGGTGACCTGAATTAAACTATTTCAACCATAGTTAAAAGTAAAAACGATGATGTTGAAATAGGCTGAGGCTTCATCGCCCATAATGCATGCATTAAACGACCCTTATAAAAAGCATCTGTTAAATAGCTGACGGCTCGCATGCTACTTTGACACACCGGCACACAGCCAGTTGGAACATGGAAATGCGGTCGAAACCCGTCGATGGAATACCCCGCACTGAAGCAGGTCCCCTGGGGATGGTTTCATGATTTATCGTATAACTTTAATGGAACTTTTGTCTAAATCTGCATTTGTTATTGTTCCCATTTGAATCACACTTATACCTTCAAATCGCCAATCACTTCCAAAAACCCAGTTAGGATACGCTATACAAAACAAGTGAAATTATATATATATATATATTTCAAGGGTGGGTTTTCAAAAATGTCCTAATGCTTTTCTTTCCCAAATGAAAATCTAGTTGTACTCTCTTCTATAAACTTGCACACGTTGCTTAAGCCAATTGTAGTTAATTTCGATAGCATTTTCTTATTTGTGGCATTTCCGTAAAATATACTTACTGATCTCGTGAACTTATCTCGGATTCCTTTGCAGACAACTTTTTCATATGCTCATTACTTTAAGAATTATGCCACCATTTCCTTATGCATTACCCGATTTATTTTATTTTTTTATTTTTCTCTCAAGTGATTGGCTGTTGCTTGATATCCCCGCTGTGGCTGCGCTTGATGTGCATGTTGACAAGGTGCCTACCTGTCTATTACCCATTACCTCGTCCATACTGGCTCTAGGAGACAGTTAGTCGTTAATGGTGGGGACGGGGTGCACGGTCCTTGTGGCCTTGCTAGGCTCGAAGAGTGGTTCCATGCAGTCAGTGTGGAGCGGACTACGG